TCAAAAATTTAACAATTTTAATGGATTTTTTATTGGTGTGAATTTCGTGAGACTTTTTAGTAAGAAATATAAATAGGATGTCTCTCTCACAATCTCACCATAACCTCTAGGATTTCTTGAGATTTCTCTATGGCAGTGTTTTCTTCTTCCTTTGGCAGGCTGACCCGCACGAAATCGGGTTTGGCCATAAGAGCTTCTTCAAAACTAAAAAAAAACATATTTTTGAGCAATTTACGTCACAAAATAACCCAAAAACAACAAACCAACGAGATTTTAATATAATCTATCTCAAAAATAACATATTTTTGAGCCATTTTTATAAATTTTGGAAGTTTAAAAAGGGATTTTTTGAGCTATGGTCACGATTTTTCTTGGCACAAAAGGTGTGATTTTTGTATTAAAAACAACATAAAACAGTGGAAAAATAACATGAGAACTAAAGAAAGATTGAAACTTTCATAATATGAACCATATATTTCGTAACAATACATTCATGAACAGAATTCTTTCACTATAGGAAACAATTTCAAACAATTTTTGTGTCAATAGATAACTAAAAACTTGTTTTTCAGAAGTCCCAAAGCAATTTAAGATTTCAATGTATCGATTGAAAAAAATTTGAGAAATTTTCTAAACTTTCATGTAATAAAACCCAAAAATTCAGATTCGAAATTTTCTTAGAATATTCAATGAAAATATGCATATGATATATGGTTAGAAAACTCTCATCACGTAAAAAAAAACCCAAGGTTTTAAAAATAAATTGCAAAAAATTCCAAACAAAATTTTATCATGAAATTTAGGTTCTATATGCAAATTTAGAATTATTTTAATAATTACAAAAAATTGGGTCTTATAATCATATATGCATAGTTTTGATACCAAATGAAGAAGATAATTTTTAACCCATTAGTCAAACCCAAGAACAGGAACGAGAAAATCCTAATGCTTGGAGGACTAGTATAACTTTAGATATGTGAAAAGCTGTTGTTTAGTGATTTTGAATATTTTTTGAAAATTATATTATGTTTTACTGATTGAGAAAATTATATTAGATTTTACTTTTTTTTATTAATTTCGTTGCATTTCTTTGTTATTTTTTTATGGGGTATGCTATACTTACAACCTATTTTTGTTTACAACAGTTTACAACCATATCTTAACCGTTGATTTTCGTCAATCAACGGTTATTATTTTCGCAAATCAAACTCATTAATTAATATTTAATTTGCAATGAATGTATTTGTCGTCTGTTTTTATCATGTTTTGGTATTCTTCCTTCATAATTAATGATATGCTTCATTATTATGTTTTACCAGAGTTGTATAGAGTTGACGATAAACGTATGTGCTCACGTCTTCAATTTGAAATTGAACTAATCAGTTTCCCACATACATTCTTCATCGACCCTCTTCTTTTGTATATTGTTTGGATTATAATGAGCATAAAATCCTAATATTCTTCGTGTTTGGCAATGTTACATATTAAAAATCCTAATAATCCGGTGTCAAACTCTATCAAATATACTCACACACACACATACACATACATATTTAATGAGCATCGTCTGCAACCTGGACATGGATGATACTGATGAGTTGTTACACCTCTTGGTGGATGCTATTAATAATAGATTGTTTGATGCTAATGGATCACTTCGCAAGCAAAATGTAGAAAGAGTGATACTTCATCATCTTAATGCAAAGACTAGGTTTCCTAAAACTTATTATCATTGCTTGAGTCGGCTAAAGTGGTTGAAGAACCAATATAACAAAATGTCGATGCTTATGCGTAACAACTCTGGCTTTGGGTGGGATACAATTACAAAGACGTTCATGCTAGTGATTTTGTTAAAATTTATATTAGGTTTTACTGATTGAGAAAATTATATTAGGTTTTACTTTTTTTTATTAATATCATTGTATTTCTTTGTTATTTTTTTTATTTGAAATGTTTGTTATGATTGTTTAAAATCTTATAAATTCATATTGTCTTTTTAAATCTTATAAATTCTATTAAAATCTTTTAAAATCCAATCTTATGAAATCTTAATTGTAAAAAAGTCTTTAAAGTAATTCCAATTCTAAATAGTCTTTTAAAATCTATAAGATTTTTTATCTCAAAAAAGTATTTTAAAATCCTAATCTAATACACCTTTCTTAGATCCTTTTAATAGATAGATAAATACAAAGAGGTGAGACTCACACCTTTTTTTTCTCAGTAAGATCCACATCTCTTTATATCTATCACTCTCTTGAAAAATCCTACATTTATATTCTTTAAATGGACACACATTTTTCCTTATAAATATAGGGAAAAGTATTTCTTCAGTCACGGAAGATAAAATTATCTCCAGTGTACTCAAAATGACGTTGTTTTGGAGTTATAAGATTAAAAGATTATATTGATAAAGACTAATATAACCCTGCAATATATTAGAATTACAAAAATACCTTAATTTTTTACCTTAAAACAACATCGTTTTGGTCTCATTGAAAATAACTTATCTCCATTGACCGAAGAAATTCTTTACCTTTAGATATATGTTAAATTTCTGCCAAATATACATATTATATATTTTAAGTTGTTAATAAACTGATAGCATAATAATCTCTGTTGCGTGAGCATGTGTGTGAGCAGGAAATATAATTTTTTATGATGACAGTAAAAATAAAACCTCAAATTTACAAATGTTGTTAGGATTAATAGAAAAAAAATAGAAATTAACTATTATCAATATTTTTGAGGAATGGGCTAACTATTAATATTAATAATTTATTATTATTAAAAAATATTATCATATATATAATAATACAGAAAAATATTTCTGCAGTTATTGCAGATAAGTTATCTGCATTTATTTCCAAAACAGCGTCGTTTTGATATTGAAAAATTAAAAAATATAAATATAAAGACTATAATAATCCTAATATAAATTAAAATTACAAAAACATCATGATTTCCGTATCAAAATGACATCGTATTGGACTTAATACAAATAACTTATCTACAGTAAGTAACTGCAGAAAAAGCGAACCCATAATAATAATAATAATAAAAAGTTAAAATTCAAGGGAACGGCCATAATTGCCCCTCCCCGATATCTGGTCTCTGAGTGTGATTTTCCCCAAGAGTAACAAAATGAAAACTAAATTCTTTTGCATAGAACCTGGTCAGTTTGAGGTTTCCGTATTCTTTCCCATTTTCTCTTATGTTACAATTTTTTTTTTTATTTTTTTAATATACCGACCTTAATTACTTTTTTGAGATGTGTTGTCGTTTGAATATTCTTACTAGTTTAAACTTTTTGAACTTGTTATAGTACTAATCTCAAGTCAAAATTTAATCATAATTAAAGTTCATTATCCCTCACTAAACTGTATTAGATGATAATTGAATCTAAGTTCTCTTCTCACTCTACTCAACCTGTATTGAAAATTAAACTACACTCATATTATAACATGGCAGCTAAAATATAAGGAATCGTTACATTAAACAAAATGAAAAGTCTACCATCAACAATTCTAATAACCAGGAGTATGCATTAGCGGTTTGCTTCAACACTTTTATATATATATTTATATATATTTCACGGAAAGTAATTTTATTCGAGACGAAAATATTCTAGCTCTCACATACTTAATCCAAAATTGTGCTTAAACAGAATTAAGCATATCTCACTTGGACTAATCCCTTTGCTATTTTCTTTGATTCAATACTTCAACTCTAATGTTCTTTGATTGACTTGCCAACTCGTTGTTTAGATTTCAGTATGTTCCTTTTAAAAGGTTTATTAATTAAAAAGTGTTCCTATTAAAAAAAAAACGCATTTCATGAAAATGAATGTGGCATGGAGTGCGAAGTGTTGTAGTGAACCATAACCAAAAGTCAAAAAGGTAGCATCCAAGGAACTATACACGCGTCAGCAATGCAAACTGGCTGTCTTCCATTCGTCCTCTCACTATTAGCCACACGTCAAGATTTCATTAGCAACCTTATAAATATATTTTCTATTGCATAGTATAAATATATATATATATATATATATATATATATATATATATATATATATCATGATTACTTTATATCCATATAAATTATATTTTTAATTTTAATTATTAATTTTATTTATATTAAAGGCTCTGATTTATTAAATATGTTAGTATTAGATTTAAGTAGATCAATTATTAAGATTGAATGTAAACTATAAATAGAATATAAATTAGATTTATTAGATATATGAATCACTGGATTAAGTGTAAAAAAATATATTCTTATAGTAGTGTAAGAATAATTTATCATATATATATGGGATAGGATATTGTGACACCCAAGTTATGTTACACCCATGTGACACCCAGTCAATCTCACCGTTAGATCGCTTATGTTGATCCAACGGTTATATTTATTTCCATCTTTGTATGGTCATGATTTCCCAAATTTAAAGTGAAAGCATTAAATATGGGAAATCATAACCATACAAAGGTAGAAATAAATATAAAATATTAAATTTGGGAAATCATGACCATACAAAGATGAAAATAAATATAACCGTTGGATCAACATAAGCGATCTAACGGTGAGATTGACTGGGTGTCACATGGGTGTAACATAACGTAGGTGTCACAATATCCTATCCCTATATATATATATATATATATATATATTATTTTTCTTTCTATTCATATACCTTTAGGGCTTAGGTTCTTTTTTGGTGCTTCGCTCACTCATTCATTCTCCAAAGCACTCCAAGTCCAACCCCATCAAACTGTACTCATCAAAGACATAGAACGAAACCGCATATATAGTTCTTCAAAAAGCCAAATAGACAGATAAAACACTCTATAACACACACACACACCAAAATACTAATACTAATACACTTGGTATAAACAGAGAGAGAGAGAGAGAAAGAGAAAGAGAGAGAGTCTCTTCTCTCTCTCTCTCTTAGTCTCATTCTCATACATACACACACCGTAAGCATATACACACACACACTAGGACACAGAAATGGGACCATTGTCCAGAGCTTAAAATTTGAGCTTTTTCGTGGAAGACAGGATCCGAGCCTAACGCTTCTCACTCTTTCTCTCACTTTCTCCCTTCACTCTTTCTTTCTTTCTTTTCTATCTCAACTATACCCTAAGGTTTCATGGAAATGGAAGATCATCATCATCACCATCATAACCATAACCATAACCATCACCATCAACAACAACAACAGCAACAGCTGCAGCAGTATGGCATGACCGATCTCAGGCAACTCGTGAACGAACCAAGGTCATCGACGGCGACCCATTTCCCCCCCGTACAAGCACAACCTACGGCTGAGGTTTTTTCCGGTCATCGGAATCTGACGACGTTGGCCACTTCCCACCATCAACACCAACACTACGAGATGATGATGATGTTTGGTCGTGACATAATGCCACGTGGCCTTCACGACTTTGCCTCCACCGATTCTGCTGCTGCTGCTAACATCACTAGTGCTTCAACTCCATCCCTTAGTGGCTTAGAGGCTGAGACCGCAGGCTGCATCGGTGGAGACGCATCCACCGGAAGATGGCCCAGACAAGAGACTCTTACTCTTCTTGAAATCAGATCTAAGCTTGACCCTAAATTCAAAGAGGCTAATCAAAAGGGACCCTTATGGGATGAAGTTTCTAGGTACAAACATTTATTCTATTTTAATATTCCTAATAATTCTTCTTCTTCTCCTCCTCCTCCTCCTTCTTCTTCTATAGTACATGCTTTTGTTTTCATTTTTTTTTTATACATATATAGTTTTGTATACTTTATTTGTTTATTAAAAAAAATAAAGAAATTGAGGACAACCGTCTAAATTCGTTCCACATGTAACTCCTTTACAGTATCCTTAATTAATTGTAAGTTGATAGTGTTAGTTTTAGCCTTTTAGGTGTCTGTGAATTCTGGAAAATCTGATATATAGTTGTATACAATTTTGTTAGCTTCTTATATATATGCTGGAAAATGACTATACAACTGTTTAATTATCTACTCAATTTTCGATCATTGATTGTGTACTTAAAAAGCATTTAAGTTTCATGTACTAAATCCAGTACGTTTCTACCACTGTCACGATTTCCATTTTGAAATTTTGTACCCCTCTTTTAAGTGCAAGTTTTTCCCTTTATTTCTTTGTTTTATTTTTATTTTATTTTTACTTAATTTAAAATTTCATTGACCATTCCGATGGATGCCTTTGCACCTGTCTTGTAATTCCGTCGTATGAAATGACATCAACCTGAGGCTCTTCCTTCAAAAATTTCATTTCTATGGAAATTCATTTGTCCTATGCTTAGTTGTGTTTGCTATAACTAGGTACCAAGAACATTAAAAAAAAAAAAAAAAAAAAGCGTAAGTGCATGGCATTTCATAAAAATTATTATTAATTACCAAAGCTCATTGTCACATGGGCATGTTTGGGGTATTCCTTCAAAGCTCTAACTAGGGTTCTATCTCTTATACAATGAGGTCATCATGGTATTAGGCTTTTTTTTTTATGCTGTTTAATTTCTTCCATACCCCATGTCGTTTTGATTGTGTTGATGACCTCAGGATCATGTCTGAAGAGCATGGATATCAAAGGAGTGGGAAAAAGTGCAGAGAGAAGTTTGAGAACCTGTACAAATATTACAAGAAGACAAAAGAAGGTAAAGCTGGAAGACATGATGGGAAGCATTATAGATTCTTTCGTCAACTTGAAGCCTTATATGGAGAAAACAGTAATCAAACCTCAGTTCCAGAAACCAATAATCTTGTTACCAACCTTCATTTCCAAACAAATCAAGAGAAGTTTCAGTCTCAAAAGCATTGTGATAGCCTAAGCCTCACTAACTCCACTGAGTTTGGAACATCTTCATCTGATGATGACAATGACCAAAGCATTCATGAGGGGCTCATGGAGAATCATGATGACTCCATGGAGAAGAGGAAAAAGAAAAAGAATGGGAAGAGTTGGAAGGTAAAGATAAAAAATTTCATTGACTCTCAAATGAGGAAGCTGGTGGAGAAGCAAGAGGAATGGTTGGATAAACTTGTGAAGACACTTGAAGAGAAGGAAAAGGAGAGGATGTTAAGAGAAGAAGAGTGGAGGAAACAAGAGGCAACAAGGTTAGAGAGGGAGCACAAGTTTTGGGCTAAAGAAAGAGCATGGATTGAAGCCAGAGATGCTGCTTTAATGGAGGCTTTGCAAAATTTAACAGGAAGAGAATTAAAAGCTGAAGAAGCTCCTGAGAGTGTAATGATAGCTGAAATTCGAAACCAAAGCGAAAACCAGAATGAAGATGGAAGTGAAATCTTGAATAGCACTATCAGAGGTAGTGATATTAGCTGGTCAGAATCTGAGATTACAAGGCTTCAACAGTTGAAAGCTGAGATGGAGACAAGGTTTCCACAAAGTGAATGTTCAGAAGAAATTGCATGGGAGGAAGTAGCAAACAAAATGGCTTGCTTTGGTTACAAAAGAACTGCTTTAATGTACAAAGAGAAATGGGAAAGTATTAGCAACTATCAAAGGGATGCAAAGGAAGGTAACAAGAAGAGAAAGGAAAATTCAAGAAATTGTTTTTACTTCAAGAACAATGATATTCAATCTTCTCTATACAATCAAGGAAGTAGCTATGGTGATATCAATGATCGGCTACTAACACATGATGGTTCTTCACCTTCAAATTCCAATGTTGGAAATGTTGCTGCTGTGGCTGAAAGTTGCTTCCCCTTCTTGATGAGTACTGAGGAAGGGAATTTGTGGGAGAACTATGGCTTAAAGCTCAATAAAGCAAACCAAAACCATTGAGTGAAAGATGGTTGATATTTAAGAAGCACACAGAAATTTGACAGTCTTTTATCTGAGATGGTTTCACATTATGTAAGCAAAGAGCTAACTGAGGGTTTATGTATAGAGATTGATGATGACTAGGTGGTCAATTGTAATATTTTTATGGGCATTTTGGAGAAAAAATAATGGGTTTAATTTACATTAGTGAGGGGAATGATGTGGCAAAGTTCACTTGCTAACTTGTTGGAATATGACATCAACTCAGGTGAGTTTCTTTTCTTTCTTTTATGCATGCAAAATGGAATTAAAAATTGTAGTACTTCGTATGTTCCACCTTCAGTGATGTTTATATCAGTTGGTCACTGTTTTTCTCCCTCATGCTTCTTTTTGTGTAATTTTGGGTTAAGCAGCGCAGGTTTTTGGTGTTTGTGTACCGAAGGTTGTGTAATTTAAGGTAGCAATTTCTTTTCCTTTTTTATTTGGTACATATTTTTATAGTCATGGAGATTGATGTGCTTCATTGGATATTATTTAAGCATCAAATTCAGGTCTTTCTTTTTCATGAAAGAGCATTTGAATAAAAAGCAAAACATTTGTTCTATCACATTTGTAAATAACTATTGGTTCATGTTAAGGGATTATTAATGTACATTCGTATGTGAGTTTTTTTTTTTTTTTTTTAATTCTAAATTTTCTTTGTTTGACTTCACTTTGCAAATCAACTATTTAAAAAGAACTGGATTGTGCTCAATACTCTATATGCCTTTAATAAACTAAAAGTCCTAGCAAATTTATGTAATTGCAAGGTTGCAAAATAAAAATACATTATACAGCAAAGTAACATTGCATTACAAAGATTGCAGTTTTGGTTCACTAGGAATAAAACCTAGCTAAGAGATCTACCATAACCCTAATACGTACATTTGTAAGGAAGAGCTAGTGTGGTGCAATACTTAAGTGTACAACTGCAATTGAGATTTTACACATACACACACACACACACACGTGTGTGTGTGATATCTACCATCTTCCTTGAGGGCATCGGGTACTGCACTTGATAGGTATGTGAATTAATGACCACACTGTCAACAGGTTATTGCACAAGGATCAATCAATATCATACAGCAAGACTTTGCAGTATGTACCCAAAAAAAGCCATGCATTGCGGTGCGGCATAGTAATTCTCCAGCGATACACTCGACAGTTATATATATTATGTGGTCCTTCCTAGTTGACCTACATATAGACCTCCAACACTGCACAAGCAAATTTGTTGACTATCTTGCACTTTTAATAGACTCCATAATCTGCTTTGTTGTCAATTTGTAAAGTTTATTAAATAGCCAATTATAGTCATTTGTAATTAAGATATAATTGTATTCAAATTTAAATTTAAATTGTCATTCGTTTATTAAATAGCCATTTGTAAATAAGATTAAATAGCCAATTGTAACTTCGATAGGACAACCTTGTAATTGTGATGAACCTTGTGATATTTGTTGTCGTGCAAAACAAACACGAACTTCCTCTTTATTAAATAATAAACGCAACAGTCAATATTTTGATTTGGTTCATGGTGATGTTTGGGGACCCTATAAAAATTCTTCCTTTGGCCGAAAGGGAGAGCTCATTAGAGTCTCCAGAGTCCTTACAACTTGGCACTACTGCACCCGAGCAAACTCAGCGGCCTGAAAAGAGATACTACAAGAAAATTGGATTTTAGAGACGGTTAAATTTGCATTTTGAGGCGGTTCAAACCGCCTCTAAATGCTTAGTTCGACGGTTCATAAACCGTCTCGTTTATCACCGTCGCAGGAAAAATACGGCAATTTAAAAAAAGTGCTGGAATAACCGTCTCTACATGACAATCTGAAGCGGTTTTATAACTGCCTCCAAATCATATTCTGATGCGGCTATTTTAACCGCCTCCACTACCACCTCCAAAAGATAATCTGAGGCAGTTATTTTAACCGCCTCCAAAAGACAATCTGAGGCTATTATATTAACTGCCTCCAAATAACGTGTAACCGCCTTTAAATAGTTAAAATTATATAAATTTTTAATTTTTAATATTAAAATTGTTATTTTAAAAAGTTAATATAATTTTTATTTTTAAATTTTTATGTTTAATATAATTTTTTTTAAAAAAAATTATTTTTAAAAGTTAATATAATTTTTATTGAGGCAGGATCCTTTGACACCGGTGTCAAATTTAAAGTTTGACACCTCATCTGAGAGCCGTTAGATCAAAAAAGATCAACGACTCTGATTTGTAAGCACGTGACACCATTGATCTTTTTTGATCTAACGACTCTCAGATGAGGTGTCAAATTTTAAATTTGACACCGGTGTCAAAGGATCCTACCTCATTTTTATTAGTTGAATATAAATAACTTATTGAATTTTGTATATGAGTGTGTTAGTGTGGGTTGTTATATAGAAGGGAATGGAGAAGCAGAAAAGTGTCATCCAATGTGGGACTTCAAAGTGAAGTTGAGATGATTTTTTTCAATTTGCAAGAGTCATCTTTGAAAATTTATACATAACATCAGATAATTCAACTTAAAAATCTGAACGGTCAGATTAAAGTATTACAAGAGAAGAACACACTAATCAAATTTGAGGATGATCCAACGGCGGAACAAAGAGATTTTTCTTCTTTGAATGTCCCTGTCCGATAGATCATGAACCGCCTCTAAATATACTTTGGAGACGGTTATTTTATCCACCTTTAATATACATTTTGAGGCGGTTCACATGAAATCGACTCCAAATGTGTACTAGAGGCAGTTAAAATAATCGCCTCTATTTACCATTCAGAGGCGGTTATTTTAAAACCGCCTCTAATTGCTACATTTAGAGGCGCTTATATCTCAACCGCCTCTGAATGGTAAATGGGGGCAGTTATTTTAACTACATCTAATATACATTTGGAGGTGGTTATGGTTTAACCGCCTCTAAAGGTAGCAATTAGAGATGGTTTTAATGTAACCGCCTCTGATGGTAAATAGATACGGTTATTTTAACCGCCTCTAATACACATTTGGAGGCGGTTTCATGTGAACCGCCTCGAATCAATTAAATCGCCGAAAATACCGCCTCTATGTATCAATTGGAGGCAATTTAAGTGAAACTGCCTCAGTTTAATAGCCTCCAAATACCAGTTTTCTTGTAGTGAGACCGCCACTGTATCTCAAAGATTATCACTGCAATGTTGCACTTCATACACCCTCATATCCCTGCACCAATACTAAGGGCATGTTTGGTGTGATGTAGAAGGCTTGATAGTATAAGCTTATACTATACGTTATGACATTTTCAGTTGTTTGGTGTGACCATCGTATAGTATAATACATCAGAACCCCTTAATGCATCAAAATGATGTATAACTTAATCAGACCTAAGAGGGTGAGATTAGGCCTGATAAGGGGTTGATGTATTAATATTGTTTACAAGTACAATTCTCAAGAACCAATATATCATTTCAATATTAATATACTAAAATAATTTTTTTAATATATTAATTTTTAAAATATTGGAGGATATTATCTTATATAATACCACACCAAACGCTGAATAGTATTAAAATTTAATCAAGTCTTATACAATCAGGTCTTATATTATCAGGCCTTATCTTATATTATGCATCAAACATGCCCTAATGTCATCTCAGGTATCCCCTCACTCTATTGCTGACTATTTATTCCTATTCTCGTTTTTCCAAACAGCATCAAGAATTTCTTACAACCATCTCAGGTATCCCCTCACTCTATTGCATGGCCCCCGTAAGGTGACTGCTATCACCCATCTGACTCTGAGAGTCATCCTGCAGACTAGGTGGAGGTGGTGGTGGTGGCGGTGGAGGTGGTGGCGGAGAAACATGGTCAACAACAGGACCATTCCTCGTCTCCTCCAACATGACTCTAAACATCGTCATGTTCGCCAGACGGTTGGCCTCCAACACGTCCTCAGTGGCCTTCCTGTTCGCCTCTCTGACGGCGCCCAGCATGGCCTGGTTTGCCATTCTCATGGCCTCCTAGTCGGCTTGTCGGGCCGCCCGCATCTCAGCCAATGCAGCAGGACAGGATCGGGCTGATCCTCCGAAGTCTCGCGGTTTCTCCCGGGTCTTACCATGACTCTGCACAAATTACACAAATTATGAGTTGATCATGCCCACGCAATGTGATCACATATGCATTATCATAATAATACTCGACGGAGCAAACACACAAAACAGACACAACCAAACATCCTAATCATTGCAATACATACAGGCTTTTCCCTTGAACCAAGCTCTGATACCATAAAATGTAACACGTCGTATATATCCGGTAGTGTTATCATTACATCGTATTAAGCTACGCTTAATTAAAAGTGCGAAATATTCTTTTTCTTTTCAATTATGACGTCATTATCAATTACCAACTTGATTACTTAATCAATTTCATAAAATATCTCCTAAATGTAAATTGCAATAAGACATCTACTGATATATCTCAATATATAAATAAGTGAGTATCTAAGTCACGACATTACATCACGTAATCCGGACAATATCCTGATACATTAATACAACTCTACTTAAAACAAGACATAACAAGTCTACGCGGCATGGACAATCCTCATGCTCACCAAATCAACAGCGTCTCAACAAGATAATCCAAAATCATAAAATGAAGCTAAAAGCATATAAGCAGCAAGCATATCCAGCATCCAACAAGTCAGCATATAATATCATCAATATCTAACTCAGCTCTGGCTTCCTGCCGCCTGAGGTCTCAACATTACCTGACCCTGAAATAAGCATTCCCCAAACGTGGGGTGAGATCTATAAACCAGAAATCTCAGTAAGACTAGGGGTCCTCAAGGATCTTCCACCCCAAGCTCACTTACACGTGCGATATAAGTTCTAAAAGCATTTATATCCTTATCAGTTCCAAAACTATGCAGTGCAACAGATATTCATGCCATGTGTGTTTATCACTATTCTACTGGCCAGAGAAATGCAAGAATACGTCTATACCTACATGTAGTACAAGGAACACCGCTTGCACCTCACCCACAGCCTCACCATCTTATATGTACCACATACTCAGGCTTACCGTATAGGTGGAACACCACATGCATATCATAAAGGCACTAGCATATAACAACTCAACAACATTACCAAAACATCAAAAGCATGTAACACAGCATGCATATAACCATACCTCCATGGGACATGGTGGAACCACAACATGGCTAAACTGAGGACACGAAAGCTTACCTTGCAAGCTCACTATCCAATGCCAAGAGTCCTCACAGCTCAAGTCCAACACACAGCAGATCACAATCTGATTTAGGACCAGCAAGTGTATCAACATACATAGCTCAAAAGCATTAACATAAAGACTATGTTCTTCTTTAACGATTTACGTCTTAAGGCTTCCAACAAAGTCATAAGCCCTTAATCACATGATTCTGACTTAGTTCAATAATTACAAAACTTCAACTTCATCAATCTAGGGTCCACAAACCCCC